CCAGAAACAGAAATAACTATGCAACACCTTCACATAGATTAAGATTTTTTGAAAAAAAAACCAATGTATATGGGTATAATATGTTACAATGCTCTTCCAACAAAACTAAAGGACTACAAAATTTAAAAATAATCTAAAAATGTACTTTTTAACCAATCCCCTGTATTCAAAGAACAAATTTTTCCTCTTACATAATACAGGGTTATTACAAATGATGTTCCTGATTTTGATTATAAATATTACTGGGTTAATTTGTTTCAAGACTATTTTAGTTGGTACCATTGGAAAGAAAAACTCATAGAGTTTCATTTACATTGGTTTGGGTGCATATCAGCTGTTTGTCAAGTCAATTGTTGTAAGTGTTGTGTAATGGCTGAATTTAAAGGCAGGAAAGCTTTTTACCAGTTGGAATATTACATTAACCAATCTGTTATTAGTGTGCAACGACACTTTAGAACCAGGTTTAACGATGATCCTCCTAGTAACCACTATATTGGCAAGTGACACTTGAAATTTAAGAGAAATGGCTGCATTTGAATGTTACTTGTAGTAGGGCTGAACTTAACAATGTGATGCCTGAGATATGGAATGAGCTCGGTGGTCCGAATAATGACACACCCCTGAACTGGCCTACAAGATCTCCAGACATCACCCCCTGTATTTTTTTCTTGTGGGGATACATCAAAGATAAGGCGTACACACCACCATTATCAGATAGGATACTTGAGATCCAGCAACGGATTACCAATGCTAAATAGACCTAGACACACTTTTCAAAGTCTAGCAAGAGCTTGACTACATTATTGACATCTGTCGTACCACAAGGGGTTCCCGTATCGAGCATTTACAGTTCTGTGTATCTGTGTCGAAACTTTTTGAGTTTTTCAACAGTTGTAACCATTTTATTTCTTTGTATAACAAATAAAACTATATTTTATGTATGTATGAAATCGTGAACATCATTTGTAATAACCCTGTATATTAGAATAAGAACTTTTTCAATAGTGATTATATCTTTTGTACTTTTTTAGGATTAAGCATTATGATTTTGATCCAATGTAATGACGCCATTCGTGCACATGTTTGCAAAGTATGAATAAAGTTGATTTCATTTCATTTCATTTCAAAGTATTTAAAAAAATGAACTCTGTAATTTGAATTGCTAATTTTTCTCGCGATGAATCAAACTTTGATAATTCAAATTGATTTGCTTGTGCCACCAATTTAGAATCATCAAAAGTTTACTGTACCAAGTATTTTGTGAAATATCCAACCAAAAACAAACTGTTTCCGAATTTGAAGTTAGAAAATTTACAAACCTCAAGAAAACTTTTTAGTTTCAGATTTTGAATCATATTCTTCTTTTTAAAATACAAGTTACAGTATGTCTGATTGTCTACAGTCTACAGAGATTAATAACACATTTCTTATCCAACATGACCTCCTAACTATGGGTTAGGTTAGAGAATCCATTGATCCGAATTAATATTCTCATTTTCCAGTATTTTAATCAAAAATTGCTTTGCACAGAATGTTAAAATGAAGATAGATACCACTCTCAATCATATTTTTACGTAGAGAAACTACACTGTACAAATCTAATGGACCAGTTTGGGATTCACAACTTACCCTTACAGTCTTTGAGGACCAGTTAGATCGGATAACTTCATGCCTTGCACCCAAACTATTCACGGAACGTGCCATCAGTACTAGACTAACATTGTTCACTTACCTGCACCCATCCTCGAGTTGTAGTCTCTCTTTGCTTGATAACTGCGAGTTGAAGCATAGATAAAGTCTACTCATCCTTTAAATCTGTGGTTGAAGTCTCCTTGCTTGATAACTCTGTGCATAAACATATTTCCCTGCTTGCCAAATTGTTTTACATGGTTCCCAAATTACCCAAAGATTCTTTCTTCGTTACTGAACTAAAAATACAGATCTACTCTGTGTAATACTCTTTTTGTCTAAATTCTATATTTTTTCAGGTATAAATCTTTATTTCCTCTTTGGCTATCTGTGTTTGCTCTTGACTTAAACAGGCTACTGATCGTTCTTTCTTCTTTTTAGCGAATTTCCCATATAGGGAATAAGCTATTACCGTAGTACTCATGGTAAGACCTGGACGCGGGACCGATTTTTTTTTCGTTTTGAGGTCCCTAGAGGCCAAAAACACCATCCGTTCAAATTCATATATATATATATATTTATATATTTATATATATATATATATATGTGTCCGTCAGCACGATAACTCGAGCAAAAATGATCCGATTTGGATGAAATTTGGTACAAACGTGTAAACGTACGTTTATTCGAACGAGTTCGCGATCCAGCATGATCGGACCATGGGAACGGGGGTTTACGGGGGGTTTTATGGGGTAAAAAAAGGTTTTTCCTATTTTTGACCCAAAAAACATAAAATTTAGCAATTTCTTTCCAAACCATTTTGTAGAGCTTAAAAAAACAAATAATTTAGTATATTGAAGCGTTATTATCCGCCTAATAGTTACGGAGAAAATTCCAAAAAATTGTAAATTTAAAATTCCCATGTTATTCTTATGGAGAATAAGTAAACTGTTGTAGTTTGCTTGTTTGTGAACATATTTTGATCAAATTTGGAAAATGATTTTATTTCTCACTACCTATTCACATTTTACAAAAAAAAAAGTTTTACCCTCCCTGATGCAGCAAACCTAAGTACTTGTTAAACTAATTCTATTTAAATCAAGAATAAATGTTATATTTTTAAGTAGACATTTCAGTGTAAATCCAATCAGTCAAATGGAAATTCGCTTAGTCTGCAGGTTTGCTGCGGCGGGGGTATTATATCTCAATAGTGAATGATGAATTGTATTCCTCTTATTGTGTCCCTAGTGTTTATTTCATTCCTCAGATGATAGTGTAATACAAAACATATTCCTACATCTATTTTTTCCAGGCATATTAAGTTGATTTCATTCCATAAATTATAGGGAGAAATGTTCCGTTCTAAAACAGTGAAGTAAACTTACTACGGATTCTTTCACTTTGGTGTCTTAGCAATGATTGGTAAATTGTTTAAGTAAAGAAAATAACATTATAATACCTTGACAACTATGGTATAGTTTAAAAGGTGAAGACGGGTAATCAAGATGTGTAAGCTTTGACTGAACTAAAACTAAGTTGGGTTAAGAGCCAGGATCACTCATAAAATTATTGCACATCAACATAAATAGCTATACTAATCACCTACTATCAGTGAAAATTCTTGTCAGGCACAGGCAGTGGATGGAAGCCAGTGTGATAACTTTTTTAGTTAGGATACATATTTACTGCTGCAGTACTTGACAAGACAGTGATTTATTTAATTTGATTGTGGATGCTGGGCAGTGCCCAAGTTAGACGATTTTGGACACAGAAAATATTACTTTTCAGTTTCAACAGAGTCCCTGCCTATGGTTTGAGTTCCTGTTGAGCAAATGTAATGGAGAAAAGTCAGCCCTAAACTTAAAATGAGTTCAGCAAACCTGACAAACTATAAGACACCTAGATACACTTTTGTAAATATATTTAGGGAACCATATATAGTCGCCTAATACTTTAGAACTTAACAGTTAACGACAGATATATTTTAGCTAAAACAGTCAGGTCAGTTAAGAGTCTTCCGTAGTGGAAGCCATGTTGGATTTCTTCCCCATAAGAACAATGTTAAACATTACATCATTTGTGGACACGTAACGGCGTTATTTGTTAAGATATAGCTTTGAAATTTATAATTTGAATTTTTAACATAATAGACTCGTGACTGAGGTTTTTGAATTTCGAAAATCCATTTTCATTTCCTATCAATAATTAGCTTAATTTTAAGCTAATTAATAATCAATTATTCATTATAAAAATTAAAAATTGTGAAATAAAAAACGTCAATCTCTAGAGGACCGCAATTCCTTAAATTTAACTCCTTATCCATAATTATATGACAATTTGCTGATGAGATATTTGGACGCAAAGTTAACATTGTTCTTATGGGGAAGAAATCCAACATGGCTTCCACTACGGAAGACTCTTAAGAGGATAGGTTTGGGTTATTTGTGGACCCGAGCCAGGAGGGGAAGGGAGGTAAAACATATAAATGGCCTTGTGCAACAGTTACCGTAGGCCACTATTTACACTTTTCCTAAGAATCCATAACAATTTAAGAAGGATGAAAATAGGTTAGTTACATGAATATATGTTACAATAAAATCTGTCATAAAACGAGTAGATTCTTAACCTATATTGTTATGTTAATGAAATTTAGATAATGCATTAGATCCTAATGCAGATTGAGAAAGAAATAGTTACGCTTTTCTGTCGATTTGGCGGTGATGAAAGTTGCACTTTATCCCCTGATACATATATTTCTTCGTGTAAATCAACATACAGCTAATTATGTGCACTACCAAGGTAGGTAGCCTTAAACTATATTTCCACCAAACAACAGTTCCATAACATTAGTGCTATTTTGTATAATTATGGAAGACGGTATTTACATATTCGTCAATCACGGTAAAAAAGTGAAACCATAATTAATAAGAAATAAATAAATTTCAATTATAATTAATTTTATTGAAACGGGGGTTTTAACAGTAAACATTTCACCTATGCAAAATAGGAGGAATATTGCATTTGATACTATGTTTTTGGTTTCATAATATTACGAATAATTATCTATTTACGTTATAATGATAACAGTTATTATGATAATTATGATCCAGTTTAAGTTATTATGATAACATAAAAATAAAAGTAGTAGTATTTAAGATGGATTTAAAAACAATGAACGACTAGAGTTGTCTGTTGGTGACATTGTATTGTGAAGGCGAGCGTTACTACAGTCATTGTAGTGGCGCGCCGGACCGTGTCTCGTAGTGAGGTAGTAAGGGTTGTGAGGTGAGAGGCTGGGGGTGGTACAGACAGTGGGATCGTTGCCAACCTCTCCATCCTCCCACCAGGAGCGCCACCTTCACCGACCCATCGATCCGCCCTGGCTCCGACCGGACCATCTCTTCACCAAATTTTCCGTTTCTTCTTTTCCGTTCAAAGCAGTTAAGTGATCGATATTTTTGTTTGTCGGAGTCGGGGTCGATGTCTAGAAGTCAATTCAATGTCGGGAGTGCCTAAACGCGCGAGTGTGTGTCCAAACGGGAAGTTCACAAGGTCGTAGAATCAGAGGATGGCGTACTTCAAGGGAGTGTACATCCCGCCGTGGAAGGCGGCAGTGAACGTAGCATGGGAGACGGTAAAGAGTCAACTACCAGAGAAGAGTCGGCTGGTGCGACGGGCGCAGACGGAGATGTCGACGATGCCCGCGTCAGACTACGGCACGGAGACCCTGGGGGGCGTGGCCGAGGATGGGTTCACAGGCCAGGAGGACGGGCACGCTGGAGGCTACGCGTCCATGGACGCCCGTGAGAGCTACCAGAAGTCCCGGGGGGCGACGATGAGTATGGCCAGCGGTGGCAGCTTCGACGAGTTCGGCGGGGGCGAGGGCCGCAGTCGTCATAAGATCAATGAGTGGCAGGCTGCATGGAACGTCACCAATGCTATACAGGTTAGGGGTGTAATGCAACAATCCATGGTATAGACCCTGATCGAAATAAGCCCCCTTCCACCATCTCTAGTCCTAATTTTTATCAACAAAATGATGATTCGTTTCAAGTGGAAAACGTTCAAAGCCTGCAAAACGTCTTAATTGGTGAAATTTAGCACATTTAGCACATCACTTGTATATTGAAAAATCAAGAATATAGATTAGAGCATTGAGATTTATTTATGACAAAATGTCCGCAAGATTGGTTCTAAAAACTGAGTAACTATCGTTCTCAATACCTAGTTAAACTATCATTTAACTAGATCGATAGTGACACACATATTGATTACGTATGGCAGTAGTCTTGCAAATCGCACTTTTTATTAGATTTATTTCACCACAATTCATTTAGTCTTTTAATGTGAGTGAAGGATGATTGTTGAATGCATAACATGATTCACAAAATAAATTGACCGTCGTGTTCGTGCCATATTCTAAGAGTTTTGTTAAACTAACGTTTAATCAAATTGAGGCAAACATTGTTATTTATATAGATTCCCTAAAATCTAGAATCTATTTTACTTGAAGATCCTCTACTGCATTTTAAATAACCATGTCTTTAGTATCGATTTTAATTAATACGATTATACTAGTGTACCTGTTGCTCGAATTCGAGCAATTGCGAAGCATTACAGGCGACTCACGAAGATTATGGAAATACTCACGATCTACACAACAGTTAGATATAATCAAAATCTTTTGTAAATATCTTATCTTTTCTCAAAAAGCTGATCTTGTTTTTTAGTGTTTCTAAAAAATTTTCCCTCTCATAGCCGCATTAGGTTGTCTATAATAACAATTAAAAATGAAAAAAAAACATTATTTCTTTTCTTCTACTTGGTTGTGTTCTATGACTTTTTCTGTTTCCATTGTTTGCAAATCGGTTATTTCAGTGATTGCTCAAGAAATGTAGCATATTGTTAATTCAGATTTATTTTTAGCCTATATCAAATTGTCCAGGATTTCTCGCTTTTTTCCATTGTAATAATTTCACCAACCCAAGTTTCGTCTACAGATGCAATACGCCAAAGAATATCAAGAGTTACTATGATATTAGGATTTTCCACTGATTTGGTAATAGAAAATTATATTGCAAAACATGACACGATGTAGAAGAATACCCCCGCCGCAGCAAACCTGCCGACTAAGCGAATTTCCATTTGTCTGAATTGATTTTCAGTTAAATATATTTAAATAACATTAGGTTTAACGAGTACCTAGGTTTGCTGCTACAAGGAAACTAATAAAGTGTGTTTTTGAGTAAAATATTGATAGCTTAGTACAAAATAAATGAATTTGCCAAGTTTGATCAAAATATATCCATAAACAAGCAAACTACAACATTTGACAATATTCTCCATAAGAATAACATGGGAATTTTAAATTTACAATTTTTTTAATTTTCTTCGTTACTAATAATTGAACAAAAATACTTTTATATACTATATTATTTGTTTTTTTAAGCTCTTTAAAAAGGTTTAAAGAGAAATCGGGAAATTTTGTGTTTTGAGGGTCAAAAGTGAGAAAAACCAATTTTTACCCCATAAAACCCCCCGTAAAGCCCCGTTCCCATGGTCCGATCGTGCTGGTTCGCGAACTCATTCAAGTTTATCCCGCTTTACACCTTTAAACCAAATTTCATCAAAATCGGACAAAAATTACTCAAGTTATCGCGTTCACGGACGTATATATATATATATATATGTCTATATATATATATATACATATATAAAAATTTGAACGAATGGTGTTTTTGGCCTCTGGGGACATCAAAATGAAAAAGTAAATCGGTCCCGGGTCTAGGTCTTACCGTGCCACCTACGGTAATAGCTACTTCCCTATAGGGAAATTCGCTAAAATCCAATTTAAAATCAGAAAAACCCATTGCAAATACTGTAGGCTACTTCATTTTGACAAATTCAATAAATTACAATTTAAATATTAACAGCTGTTTCATTAAAAAGTAGGGTAGAATTATGCATATGGTCGTAATGTAAACAAATCTGAAGAGGCAACTTTAAAGGCTTCTGGGGCAGAGCCCCATGGGAATTCACCTCTTTCCTCTTTTGATGGCTCATCTACAGACCAAGACCTTTCTTTAAAGACCCCTACCAAGTGTTTACGCCCAGCCGTTCTCTCAAATTAGCTGTGACAAAAACCCCGTTTTCCTCCATAAGAATAACATGGGATGGGAATCCAAAGGCCACTGGGGCAGAGCCCCAAGGGAAATCACCATGTTTCTCTTTTGATGGCTCATCTACAGACCAAGACCTTTCTTTAGACACCTCTACCGAGTTTCTACGCCCAGCCGTTCTCTCAAAATAGCTGTGACAAAGAAAAACAGTTTCAAATTAATATATAGATTATTCAGCTTGTGATATTGATTTATTACAGTACTTTTAATTTTAGATTGAAATTTTTGGTTGTTCAACACTTTTTAGTAGTTATTGTCAACAGAAGGAGAGTTCGAGTATCAGTCTGCCTCATTAGCATGGCATACTGTTAACAAAAAACACATACAAATAAAAAATAAATTTGTGACAGTACCTAATTTTCTACAGCGAACTCACGTTTATTTTATGAACTTTGTATGCACTAATTGCTACTTTCAGTGTAAATAAATATAAAACGTAATATAGCTAAGTGTTACATTAGGTCTAAGACTAGCCGATTGTGCTGTCATTTTTAGTGGTCTTACGGTTAAGTTATTCACGAAATTTTAAGACATACATTAGTGGTTGTTAAATGAATGATTTGTTAAGTTTATTGGCTTAGATCAACAAGCTACTTAGCCAGTATCATCCATAGAACCCTGTATAGCTTTTTTGGTAGCAGAGTGGATATAGATATGTCCAACAGCAAGCAAGATCGAAGGTTACAGTTTAGATCCCAAAACGTTTAGATTATATTTTTTATGGCTAGAAAAAAACACGAGTTTAAGAACAGAAACTGTATGGATTATAAACATAAACAAATTACGTCACTAGCCCGAATGTCCATACTAATAGCAGTAACACCTGATTAACCAACGAGTAACCAATCTATTCAACTCACCCATTTAACATTCATGCTTCAGTCATCCTCGCCTTCACACACATGCGTACCCTGGTATGTCGGCATCGTAAAAATCAAATCTAATCAACAATCCCAAAATTCAAGGACAGCTGGGTCCAGTTTCAGGCCATCGAAATGCAAGTGACTTTTCTCAGAATTGAATCGATGACTTGAAGAGTTACATATTGTTGAAGAACTAGCTTTAAAACAATTTGGGAGACAGACACGAACTGTCTAGAAGTCCACTAGGTGCTTCTAGAATGTCCCCTAATCAAAGTACTTGGTGAATTACCAATACTGGTATTCGTGTTGGATAAAATGAGTAAGGTTTATCTTAAACTAACCTAAAATAACACCGAGCAATGGTCTAATTTCCTTTTAAAGAGAAATTTCTCACAAAAAGCATTCGACACATTACCGTAATTATTTTAGTAATTTAGATTCTATTATGTAGGACCACACACTGAGAATCCTCATATTTGCGGGTAACCCATTGTAAATGTATTTTGTGGTAGTAGTGAAGAAAAGTTTTCCTTCCCATTCTTCTACTCTTTGCTTTACAGTTATACATCTTATCGCCCTTTGCTTTACAGTTATACATCTTATCGCCCAAACCCAAAATATACGTGTTTGGTCATTTCTATTTTGCGAGTATCATCAATTATTTGTTTGTTTGTTTGTTTGTTTGTTCGATTGTCTTAAAGCTCAATGCTGGTTGTAGAATAACTATTTCATAAAGAGTAAAAAGTTGTAAATTTGTGTTGAAACAACAGTACACAAGATACCTGTACGCACGTAGAAACTATTGAGGGAAAAGAATTTATTTATAAAAATAAATACGTCTGCCTTAAAAAATAAGGTCGCCAATGACACAGAAAAATGTACACTTAAAATATTGAAGGATTAACAGCTATAAGACTGATTAATTTTGATGTTTGCCATATAAATGATTTCTAATTATAGTCAATGAACCTCTTAATGTTTCGTGGATAATAATTTTCAAAAAGGATCTGTCCAAATCATTTTTGTTTTACATAGGCCCAAGTTAGGATTTAGTTTGGAATTTTCAAGGACCATATTGACACGGTAAAAGCTGCAAACTTGAAGTTTGGTGCATGGTCTTTACCATCATTAGTTATCACTTTTAATTTTCAAAATTGTTGCTCTAATGGATCTTAAGAGTTTATTGAAAATCTCATCCAGACAGACAGATAACTAAGCCCTTTCTAACCATGTTTATATTGTAAAATATGATTGCCTGGATTCAACTAATCCATAATAGAAGATACATTTTTTACCTTACACGTTGTAAACATTTCCAATGGGAATCCATGTTGATATTATGGACGACGACACAAATTTTTGGACAACCACCTTTCTGTCCAAAATATATTTTGCTTTTATTGATTGGTGCTCATGTAGTCTACAAGGCTCTTCATGAAACTTTTGGTCAAATCAAACAAAATCAAACCAATCTTTATTTTAACAAGTAATAATGCAGCATCACCATATATGAATACAAAAATTATCAAATGGGCTTCTTCTGCTTGTACGTGGTCAGCACCCCGAATTTAATTAGCTACAATATGAGTAGCCCCTGCTGTTGTCATAGTCTTTTACTAAATACTAAGGCACAAAAACAAGTTCACATCTGAAATAAAGCTCAGAACAACACATAGTTCAACAACACCTTGTGCATTTATTATTATTCCAAATATCAGTTGAGATGAGGACACCCAGGTGTGTTTTACAACCGGAAGGAATGTAGGATGAATGTAGAATGGTGTAAATGTAAGATGTCTTGTGTAGCTTTGTTACTGACTAACGGTTGTTTCACTATCCAAGACCATTTTTATTAAAAGCAAAATTATGAAGGACAGCTCGATACACTTTCGAAAAATCAAAAAGCTACACACTTTTCTCAGGATCGAGCCGGCGACCTTATGACTAGTCGGAGCAATCCGGGTCTGATATTTAAAAAGCCATGAAATACTTTTACATTCATCATCTAAGTAATTGTATTATGTCAACAATCGTGATTGTATTAAGTGCAGCACCCTTTTATAACAGGAATAGGACTCTAAATGATCAATATAAAGACTCAAGTTATAATACAGTAATAGGGAAACACCTGTTGATGTTGACGAATCTATCTATCTTCTATATAAATAAAATTAGAGTTTTGTCTGTACATTGCTCTGAATTATATATTTTTTGTTTATTTTTACGTTTTATACATTAAAGAAGTCAACACAGGTGTTATCGCTATTTCTGTCTGTCTGTCTGTCACGGCCCAGAAGGCGTTTTACGCGGCCTTCTCCTGAAAAACGAGAGCATCGATCGGGATTCAAATAGTCTTTTTGTATTCACTGGATTGGCGAGAGTGTCTTTAGCTATTAAAATATGACCTCACTACTTTTGAAATAAAATAACGGTCGTTCAAAAACCCAATTTTTTACGATTTTTGTTAAGTTTTCCCTTAATGTTTACCATATACGTAATTTATAAAATACTCATCTGTTTGGAAAATACGACATCTATGAAGTAACGAACAGCTGTTCGGATACAGATTATTTTTTTCTAGCTGTCACTGGATATTATGTTTACATTATAATGTTGTTTACAAATACTGCAACCATTTCCAATCACGTTTTGTAAGAAAATCCAAAAACAAGTGAGATTAAAAACTTTGTGCCTTACATAACATCAGCGTGTATCCAATTGTATTGTACTACACTGAAACAGTGCTGTATATGGAGTTTTGCCTGCATATCTGGAAAAATGCACACTAAATATGCAAACCAATTTCTGTTCTGATTATAAGAAGGTTTCAACTGACTACACGATCCCGTTCGTAGAACGGGTACACAGCTAGTTGCTATACATAAACATAGAAAGTACGGTACCTATACTGGTAAATATTATGTTAAATGTAGTTTAGTTTACGTTGTCCATACTGGTAACACTCAATGTTTTTTACTGATTTTTTGAAGTGGCCAGTCGTCAATTCTCCTCATGAAGCCTCGATTTCCTCATATCCTCCTGGACCTGATCTCACCATCTTGCTTTGGCTCTTCCAGCTGGCCATATGCCTTTAGAATCTTTGAATTTAAAATTGTCCATATTTCCAGGGAATGTTCATCGTGAACCTACCATTCGCGGTGTTACGAGGTGGATACTGGGCCATCCTAGCAATGGTAGGCATCGCATACATCTGCTGCTACACTGGCAAGATCCTGGTGGAGTGTCTATACGAGGAGGACGCCGTGACGGGGGAGAGGGTGCGAGTCAGAGACAGCTACGTGTCCATTGCTAGAGTCTGCTTCGGGGAGACCTGGGGTGGCAGAGCCGTCAACTGTGCTCAGGTAGGTAAAACATCTTACTCTAATGAGTGTTTTGATATGCGGAGATTGTTTACATCCTTATAATATTTATCTATTTGCAATAAGTAGCTTCTATGTCGCAACAGTTTAACGTTTCCATCTAATGTATTGATACTGAAAGCAAAGATATTAACTTCAGCAAAGTGTTATAATGTACAATATAGCTCAGTTTATCAAATAATTAAATTCAATATATTTTCTCCAGATGATCGAGCTATTGATGACATGCATCCTGTATGTGGTCGTCTGTGGAGATCTGATGATAGGGACGTTCCCAGACGGAGCGCTGGACATCCGCAGCTGGATGATGCTTATCGGCATCTTGCTCATACCTCTGGGCTTTCTCAAGTCACTGCATCACGTGTCAATGCTGAGCTTCTGGTGCACCATGTCCCACATCGCCATCAACATCGTCATCCTCGGCTACTGTCTGCTGGACCTACCCGAGTGGGGCTGGGGAAAGGTCAAGTGGACCCTAGACTTCGAGAACTTCCCCATCTCCTTGGGAGTGATCGTGTTTTCATACACGTCTCAGATCTTCCTTCCCACTCTGGAGGGTAACCTCATCGACCGGTCCAAGTTTGAGTGGATGCTCGACTGGAGCCACATCGCCGCCGCAATCTTCAAGTCCATTTTTGGATACGTTTGCTTCCTGACCTTCCAGAACGACACACAGCAAGTCATCACCAACAACCTTCCGTCAGCGGGGTTCCGCGGTATGGTCAATTTCATCCTCGTCGTCAAAGCACTTCTCTCCTACCCGTTGCCGTACTATGCCGCCTGCGACATCCTGGAGAAGACGTTCTTCAAAGGGAAGCCGGAGACGATGTTCCCGTCGATATGGCACTTGGACGGAGAGCTGAGAGTGTGGGGGTTGGCGTTCAGAGTGGGAATCGTGTTTGGCACGATCATGATGGCAATTTCCATCCCTCACTTCGCGATCCTGATGGGTCTGATCGGTAGCTTCACAGGCACAATGTTATCATTCGTGTGGCCCTGTTACTTCCACCTGAAGCTGAAGGGGCACACCCTAGACTGGGGCACCGTCGCCTACGACTGCTTCGTCATCTTCCTCGGCTGTCTCTTCGGCGTCATGGGCGTCTACGACTCCGGCAGCGCTATGATCAAAGCCTTCCAAATCGGCCTACCGTTTTAAACCCCAGCGCGCGACGCGGCGTAAGATAACGTTTGTAAACAAAGTCTTCCATTAAAATTGTATATTGTAATATAACGAAGTCTTCCATGACGTGTGCTTATCAAGTAAACTTGTCTTCCATAAAACAAATATTTGTTTAAAGAATTTGCTATCGCTACAAACGATGTGATAAAGTTAGTTTGTTTAGAAACATTGAGGCTAGCACGTACTAGAAATAGTTCAATACTCAATTAATCATATAAGTTAAATTATAAAATGTTAAGTCTCAATCAAAGAGTAGCCGATATACGAGGAGTGAAATTATTTTAGTTTTAAAATATTTACATTTATAAACCGACGGAAAATTTGATAATGTAGCCAAATTATCAATATTATAAAACCCGTAGTAGGTAGAGTACTCTAACATTTTTATCATCCTCAATCACTCTGTAAAACTTGTATTAAGAATTATAATCAAATTGCATACAAAAGTCAAATTGCAAAAATTGAGAGAATTAAATTTAGAGTAAACAAATGAGTACTAATGAATGAACAAATTAGATAGATAGACCATAACCAAAATAGTTATTTCCTTTGTAAATACAGTTTTAGATGTGCGATTTATATGTGTTAGGAACTACTTTCGAAAGTTACGTAAAATATACTAGAGCGGATGAAAAATTCTAAAATATCTATCACAAAAAGTGTATATTTAAGATTAATTTGGGTATACACTTAAGCGAAGTTTGAAGGAAACTATCGATCATATAAACTGTTGGTTCATTATATCAACAGAAAAATGTCTTCCAAAGAGTGAGCATACTCAAATTCGTCTGTCTGTTTGTTTCATAACTGTGCGCTTAAAATTATAAAAGTGTTTGTTATTAATTTGTCTAAACAGTTTTTGAAGTAGTAGTTTGGCTTGACAATACAATTTCTGATGCTACGTATGTTTATTTGGCACAGACGTGAGGTATTGTAATGTTAATTAGTTTTAGAAGAACACATTCGACGAAATGTTTCACTTGTTGACGATTTATACCCAAAGAAGAATGTATTACTTATATGTTTCTTTAGTCACATTATTTACTTTATTACTGATTAAGAAAAAAATTGTTCCATTGATATAAACATTATGTAACCTAGGCGAATAAAATAAAATATTAATTTTCATGATAACTAGAACATTACACGGTAATAATTTTTTAAGAAATGTAAAGGGATATTTGTTTAGTGAAGTTTGCTGAAAGTTGTAGTTATGTGGCTGGATCTATGAAAATTCTTAAAATTTCGGATGTTATTTTATAGATTCTCAACATTTTATATACTTGGCCTTTCTGTGTCTATATTATAAGCTTGCAACCTCAAGATCAATTACAGAAAAAGAAGCTTGAACAGTAAGCAATATCCGATGCATTAAAAATGAGCGAACCCCGCTCTCCATATCTCTCGTTGGTGTTTAAATTTTATAACATTAAGTAATTTATTTTTATATTTATTGAGCTAAGATCATAATTTGTAATCGATCGATTGAGTGATTTTTGGTATGATTAGAGGACTGATAATGTATATTTTTATCACGAACAAATTAATTAAAAATCATATTTTTTATTTGTATACGTAATTTGAGGATAAGTATTATAACGTTAGTATATTTCAGCATGTACAATAAACCCTCTTTAAACTGGACTGATTTGTTTTCCAGAATTTCCAGGTTGTTCGTAAACATTTTAGTCCTGGACTAAGATAATCGAAGAAAAACAGTTTCGGAACCATTTCTGACACTTCTCTATGCAGGTTGATTGATATAAAAGTGCCAGCTATCTATTCGAATTATAAAAAATAGGGTCTTCCATAAGAAAAATTAAAGTTTGTGGCCATATTGGAAAAATTGTGGCTAAAATTATGTTTTCAACTTGACCAAAATTTTTTAAATAAAAATCTAAGGCAGTCACTGTTAAACAACAATTTAACAGCTGGCACACTTCAATCACCCTGTATAATGAAACTATGAAGTGAAAAAGCTTGAATCAAGTATTCCCTTCCCGCAACATTGCACTCAAACGGGCAATAACAGCTGTCGGACTAAAAATCATGTCGAGCAACCAAACGCTTAGTTTACAGTGGCGAATTCTTGGATATATGAAATCTTTATAAACCACTGTCGGTCTAGGTTGAGCCGTTTCAGATAACCGGATTAACAAGGTTTTATTTTCAAAATGATTTTTAACGAGTTTTACGCATATTTTTATGACCTCTTCAACTTTTTGTTGACTATGAGTTGATCATATCAAATTTAAGCTTCAGTTGCTATATTTTTTAGAATTAAAAGTGTTATCTGTGAAACATTAAAAATATATATTGTTGATGAAATTTTACAAACAAAAACTTATGTCAAGACATTTTTTTTAAGTGTTTATGGTAAAGTTTTATAATGTTTTAAATAGATAGTGACGTAGAATTACAAGGTCTGCATATGTAGTATAATTAAGATGTCACCTTTTTAACACACGACAAAAATTACTGGTGGAATGATCTGTATTAAAATGGATCAAATATTAACCTTTTTGACCACTTATCAAAATGAGCATGATAGTATAATAGATAAATTTGCAGTAATTGTGGTTAAATAAATTCCATAAATCCTATTTTGTTTTGAGACTAAGACATGCACATATTTACAAGAATGACAATAGCTAATCATGTATGTAGTTGACAAAATGATAGTCCATTGTAGATTATAATTTATTGGATTTTATTAAGTGGAACCCATAAATTTGTTTAAGGAAAACCACTTTGTATGCTGTAACAGTATCTGGTTTTAGTACGAAATCATTTGCATTGAACCCGGAAAGTGTTAGTCCTTTCTGATACTTTTTTTTGGTCAAGTGAAAACCAAATCTAAGAGCGTTCTTGACTCGAACCAGGTTGGATATTTTTTGAGTAATTTAAAGTGTTTAGATCTGTTGCTAGGCTAGTGTAGACTGTATGAGTGTTGTTCTTGTTGTTATATATGTATTATACTGGTTAGAGCGCACTGCCGTGCTAATTATACTAAATAAAGCTCTTGCTTTCCATTACTTTGTGTCTATTATTTACTTACCACATTACTTTTCAATTTACAATTAAAAAAAAAAATACAAAAACTCACATTGTTTATAAACGTATCTGCCTTTCCATATGGCCTATTAGACTATCGAAGATGTTTGTCAAAGAACTTTAAAAAAGATCTTTTGTAAAATAGTTTACAGTGTAATAGGGGCCTAACATATCTACTGTTAGTACTCATGAGTTACATAGTTTGATATTTACATGGTCTCTCAAATATTTTGTTTTGATTGGAGGAAAACCCCCATTATTGGAATGCTTACCTATACAACTGGTTAACAATCATTTAATTGAGAACAGTTTATTTACTTTTACAAATGTGTATCTCTAGTCAAAGTGTCTCCAATGAGCTCATAATGAAAACTTTTATTTTATATTGTTCAGAAAGGTTTAAACATCACATCAGTAAGTAAGTCTATGATCTATCATTGATTTATTTCATTTTAGAATTATTTTAATCAAAGTGCATATACCTCGATTAGTTATAATAAATCTAAGTAAAGAGATTGAAATAAAATCTACCGACTGTAGTTAGTTATAAGGATCACTTTCATTTTAACTTAACGTTCTGTTGCAAAAACAATAAATACAGAGTTTTTAGTTCCTATAACACGTTTAACATTTAATGAAATTTTAAAACACCCATGTGTCTATATTGGATAATAGTCCCCTGTCAAATGTGCATATACAGGCTCCCGTGTGCTCCTTAATGAGGCAGGTGTGGGAGTAGTCTTAATCTCTTCGTGTGACCTTGGAGAAATACAATTTCGATGGTGGCACTCTTGAAAATGGTGCGTTTGAACGCTGTGGGTAAAAAACAAAATGGCCGCCATCACAAACTTGTTTTCTTACTTATATCAGTAACCGTCAGAGTTATGAAAAAATTGTTGATACCAAAATGTAGCTATTTTAAATCTGCACAAAAAAGGTTATTACAGTTTTTATGTAGGATCAACCATTCTTTCATAAAACATAATTTTATATTTTTCATCAATAAAATTAATCAGGGTGGATGTAATGTCCCAGGACAGTTAAATATTTCAAAAAGTAATAAAGGGGGTTTCAGTAAAGCGTGATGGGCTATGCAGATTCAGATTCTATGTGCAAAAATAAGTCGAAAATGTAGTACAACATTGTTTCGATTTCGGCTTAGTTAAGCCGAATTCCGCCATTTTGTATTTTTTGAAAATAATTCATAACTCAAAAGCCCTTAGAGATATTTTTATGAAACTTGGTATAAACTTTAAGTCTACAACTATAAACATGCTCCGAAAAAATCTTTGATCAGGCTCATCGAATTTCAAAATGGCGGCCATTAAAATTCTTTATAGTCCAATTCCATGAAAACCAGAATTAAAAACAAAACTTTGAAACACAATATGTAAAGTCCTTTTTATTACAAATCGAACGAGACTTTATTTGTGAAAATCGGATAATAAATAAAAAAGTTATGTAACTTTTATTATGTTTTTGTCACTAGTTTCTATGGAATTTAACTTTGTCATTTCAAAATGACTGCCATTTTGATAATTACTATTAATAATAAAAGTTACATAACCTTTTCATTTATTATCCGATTTTCGCAAATAAAGTGTCATTCGATTTGTAATAAAAAGAACTTTAAATAATGTGTTGCAAAATTTTGTTTTATTAGCTGGTTTTCATGGAATTTGACTTTAAACATTTTAAATGGCGGCCATTTTGTTTTTACCCACAGCGTTCAAACGCATCATTTTCAAGATTGCCACCATCGAAATTGTATTTCTCAAAGGTCAAACGAAGAGATTAAGACTACTCCCACACCTGCCTCATCAAGGAGCACACGGGTGTACATTTGACAGTGGACTATAACCTATAAAACTGTTTTGTTTTGTGCATGTATGAACGACTGATAATAAACCAGTAGATTTGAAGCCAGCGGATTCCATACACAATAGTTATCTGGGTCATTTTCACCTCCGTGCTTAATTTTATGTTCTGTTGCAAAACAATTAATTGACGTTTCAATGAGTAAGGACCCGGAAGGAAGGAAGGACGAAGATGGCAGGATCGCAGGACATAACCTTCCACTCTGCAGAGGTTTGAGGTTATCTATTTTGTATTATCTAACAAGAGATTTATGACTACTCGGTCCACCTGAAGCGAATGCATTATGTTTCCCATTATGTAAATACAGTATCTGATCAAATATATGCAATATTTATGACTATTTTGTATCAGATTGTAATAACCGTGTTCTTGAAATTAATTATTGGTTTAACGTTACGCTTAGTGTTTTAAAAAGGATTAGGAGCGTAAAATTGTGTTTGACTGTAAATTGTAATTGATTTAGTGCTTATACTTTGAGTTGATTATAGTATTATCAATACACCTAAATAAAAAGTAACGATTGTTCGTATATTACTAGGAAAACAAAATGTTTACCATTTTGGGAGCTAAGGTGAACAATGCACCAAATGTACTTCTTTACACTGTCTTCGTATTTATCCTTTTATAAACCCTACACTTTAATTAAAATTTAGTGGTTTTTTTCACCTGGCATTTTTATTATGCTCTGTTGTGTTTTGATAAAATAATAGATTCGAATAATTTTGTAATGAACTCGTTTGATTATTGTAAACACAAAACAAAACTGTAAAATAAAAAAAATAAACAATCATAATAAAATAATGATCAGCTGGTCATCTGGTATAGAAATCCTCCCCCTTTAATTTTCTTCATATTTTTACAATCATCTTATTTGGTCCACGTGTCTTTTCCACACGCCTCCGTCTTCCATTCTAACAAGATAAATAGCATTTCCTATTTTGTTTCTTAATTTTTCCAACTGTCCATTTTTCAAGAGAGTAGTTCCTCACCAGCACTCCTTCCCCTTTAGTAAAGTGTTGCTTTGTTACTTGCATCTCTGTCTCTTTCAAATTAGGCTTCTCTACTAATATATCCAGAACATGCACAAAACTTGATTGCGCATAACATTTAACACGGATTAATAAATAGAAGGGAAACACTATTGGCATAACTTGAACTTTTTAACTGGAGTAGTAAGGTTCACGGGGTATGCAAAATTATTTTTAAAGATTTCCCTTATAATGATGTACAATAAGAATGGTTACAATGTTTTAATTACCTAACCAGCACAAAATGTCAAATAATTTACACGATAATAATTACTTCATTATATTTATGTACCTTGTTTTAAAAGATTTCTTTGCTAGTACAGTATTGCCGCTTCGTACGTCACCATAGCTTATTCTCTTGCGAATAATTATTGGTGCTTTTTCATACGTTTTGGAATACTGGGGTGGCAGCTGGCAGCTAGCATGCGTAGTCATCTCAGGATTGTGCCAGTGAGAAACACAATAGAATCACTATGATCAACTTCATCTCTAGTTTGACACTGGGGTGAGATGAAGACAAGGAAGTGTTAGAACCTTGAGCTTCACCAGCACCAGATTGTTTACCCAATGAACACCGGGAAGTCACGACGCCGGCGGCGAACATCACGTTCACTACCTATATATTTTGCCCGTCCAAATAACTTTCATCAACAAAATTATGACAAGTGAACAGCTGGGTAGCTAAGGGTGTAGGACTCACCTGGCAATCAAAAGCCAGGTGATCTGAGAAAAGCCAGAAGCTTTTTGGTGGTTCAAAAGTGGACCCAGGTGTCCTGGACTAGATCTTAGTCAGTAATAAAACTACAAAGATCGCATCGCTCTATTATACTCATATCTTTCATTCATTTTCAAAATATTCACCTGAGTGTGCATCGCTGTAGTAAAAGTTCAGAGTAATAACAAGTAGTCTTGTGAGGTAAGAGTTGAGTTGATTTGGGCCAAAGAATAAGATGACAGCTTTCAGTTTAGTGATAAAACAAACTACTGTATATACAAATGAAATTTTCAAATGTACTGTACTATATGTGTATTTAATCATACAAGTGAAAGATGATAACACATTCAAACTTTATATTAAAGTTCTTTTTAATTCATCACAAATAGAAATATGTTATGTATGCGTAGGCCTATATTGTATGGACGAGGTTCACATGTTTGCGCCTATTACGGGTGTTCATGGAATAAGTTTTATTAAAAGATACATAGTATTTTTTTCCTTTTGATTCAAAGTTCTTTTAAGATGTTTTATCTACAATTCTACACAAAAAACATCACCACACGCTGTGGCTTCTTTACGAATCTTCATCAGACTTCCCCCTGATTTAAATAGTGATTAAGTAGGTAAATAACTTCTTTATCAGCATCGTACGTGTTATTAAATTACCTGAAAGCAGAAAAAAATGTAAAATAACACTTGTAATAATATATTTACAGTTAGGCTGTTTACTCCTTTCATCATCAGACCCAATTGGCAAATTCGCCTATTGGATCTGATGATGATTGGAATGTCAAATCGAAATCGATCACCACTTACCATCTTTTATATGTATTTACCGTCTTGTGAGTAAACAGCATAAATGTAAATATATTATTTCAAGTTTTACTTAACGTATTCTTTGTGCTTTCAGGTGATTAAGTAGGTATAATCCATATTCACTACTTAATACATACCTAAAATGATGCAGTATGAGTTAGGCCTGAAATAGTATGAAATGTTTTAAATCCATACAGTCACAGAAAACCTATAGGTTTCGCTTTGGTTGTTAAGCTCGTATCGAGAAGTCACCCTTAGGCCCTAGAACACCTTAACCTTCAACTGTTGTTAGTATTCATAAGTACCAATTTCATAAGTTATTTCATAAGTTACCCAGTAGTTTTATCACTTTTCTAGATTTTAAGGTGCCGATATCTTCTTCAGGATTCACGAGCATTATATCAGGCTTAAGTGATACTTAGCGTCATGCTAATACAGTGTGTAGATTTCCATGACTAACAACAAGTTATGATTCCTTAATTGAGTCACATTAACCATCA